CCGCGTTGGTGCACTCGTCTCAGTTGTAGCTGGCGTCTGCTTGCTTCTTGCGGAACCTGTCGTCGCACACGGAGGGAGGGATGAGCACTGTGCCGGGGGCTGGGGAAGCAGGAAAGTCCTCGTCTAGGCGACGGTTGGACATGGCGATTCCGCCTCCGATATACTGCACGTCTGCCATGGTGTGGGCAGCCAAGGCCCTCGTCTGTACCGGCGAGCTCCCTGTGCAACTTGCATATAGAGCAGCCTCCCTGGCTCAGAGGACTGATGTCCGCGGGCTTAACTATCACCTCAAATACGCGCATGGGGGCCTCGAGGGTGAACTCACTCGTGGGATACGCGAAGCGTCAAGAATTTTATTGGCCCCATGTGACTCTGTCCAGGGACGGCTGCGCTCTTCGAGGGGAGATTGGGGGATACTCCTACGCAGATCCCCGGACACTCACAGCAGCGAAGGCGCAGGCCCGAAGGGCGAAAAAGGCTCTGGGATGCAGACCAATCGATGGACACTTGAGCAAACAGTGGGAGCTGTCTGGGCCCGCATGGACACGCAAGCCCCCTCACCTTGCGGCGCTTCGGCCATACACGCTCTCGACGAGGCGCGACGGCTGGAACACGGCCCGGGCCCCGAGAATATACAGGTCCACCTGGAACATTGACGGAAGCTCTCGAAGGAAAACCACTAGACACACCTTGCGCAGGGACCCACCGCCCCTTCCTATGAACCCCATCACGAAATGTTCTTAGAAGCCCAAAACATTCTAAACACAACAACAATGTTCGTAGAACGCCCGGCCGATGTGCTAAACCAGGACAGCCCAAGCCAGAAATGTTCTGAGAACATGTCGTGCAGGCTACGAAAAGTTATTAGACCATTCTTTGGTGAGCCTATAGGCATGCCAGGACGCTTCGCCACTGTTCGAACACCGCTGAGCGCGACCGCCGCGGAGAGACTAGAAGAAGATGCGCAGTGCAAGCTGGGCGGGCTGACCTGGCAGCTCGGCATCGAGACTCCCGCCGTCGCTTTGCCGAGCCGCCCCTGGGAAACCCTGCTCCCCAAACAGACTGTCTGTGAGGGTTCGCTCTCCGTCCCTGTCTCTCTCTGTCTGTCTCTCTAGCTCTCTGTCTGTCTGTCTGGTACCATCATCGCCGGCGGCCATCGCCAACGTGGAATGTCTGGGTGCATGTTCCAAAGAGCTACACACACGTCTGCATGGTCATCGGTTCTTCGGCAGCAGTTGGGCCACGAATGGCAGATTCGTCGCGTAAGCAGGAGGTCGCACTTGATCCTGTTCAGCGTAGCTGCTAGAGAAGTCGCTCTATGAGAAAGCCAGCTCGCACCAACGTCGTCGAGGTCATGGCGATTTTGCACTTGGTGCAAACATTGGGCAGCTTGCCGTCGGCGCAAGTTGGCTTAGCTCGGAGAGCCCATGATTAGAGCACATCGCGCTATCCAGGGCCTGCTGCACCATCGTGAAGCGCAGCGCCACTGTACACGTTACCAAGTATTGAGCACGGCTGTGCGCTGCCCGATAGCATGCTGATTCGCACGAAGCGCCTCATGTACGGTGAGAGTTTGTGATTCATACCCCTTCTGCTTTAGTCTGTCTCGTCAATCAGGTGGCGCCGGCCCCTGCAGCATGGGCCAGTCTACTGCAGAATTATTTGGTCTGGCACACGTCCCTGGACAAGGATCCGCCGACGCACATGCAGTGGTCGTTAAGGCAATATTTCGCATTCGCAGGGCATCACCAGACGGAGTTTCGCAACTCGGTCAAGTTAGCATGGCTCGTGAGGCTGCGCTAGCGGATGAGGTACGATGTCGTCGCTACGAATGCGATGCTACGTTGTCTTCGAAAGCGGCTTGGAGGAGGCACATGACGATGCACAACCTGTTGGACTCCAGCCAGTTGCATGCACGAGGCACAACAATGCGGGGAGTGTGGCACACAGCTTGGGCACAGGCCCACTCTTCTTCGACACCATCGGTGGCCAGGGAACACATGCATAGGATATATGGGGTAAAATGATCTGCCAGGGTTGGCAGAGGAGGCGAAGGAGTTGTGACATGAGGACCTTGGTCGTGAGCGCAAGTGGGTCGCAGATGGGTGCGACTATCGTCAGCTACAGCGTAATGCGAAGAGGGTGGCTCACTGGGGGGGGGGGGGGACAGGGGCCACCCATGGTCTTTGTGGACCCCCCTGTGGTAAGGCTCACTGCTGTTCCACCTGAACCATCTGTCCGACGGCATCGTCTTCGAGTTGAGAATGTGGTACCTATTGTCGTTCACCTGAATGCAGGAGCTACTTATTGTGGTGACCCATGTAGATGGATACCTCGGATGTGGCCTGTACCGACAGATGTTCGACGGCTGGGCCGAGACAGCGAGAAGGAGGAAGCAGGTCAAGGTACATTCACCCGAAACTTCAAGGGCCGAGGACATTCCATAAAAATGTGTGCAGTGGGGGTGATTGGGTTGCTAGTCGGACTGAAGGCTGAGACTTGGAGGTGAGGAGATGGAGACGACTTGGCCTGCTGGAGTGTCAATTTAATTCCCGTGGGGCGTTGACGAGCTTAGAAACGTGTGTATCGTGATCGCTTCGCAGATATTGGAAGTGTGTTTTGCCTCTGGTGTACCAGCTATTCGTTCGGATGCCACCACCCTTCGGGAGGCCAGTTCATGATGAAGATCACTGTCGCCGTCGACGCTGCAAGTGGGACGGTCCAGGTGGAGGAAGTGGACTTGTGCATGATGGGCACATGCTCATAGACTTTTTCAGTGCACGGAATGCTGTATGACGATAGAGGCCTCCTATACGGAGTCGGAGTAGATGGAGTCGGAGGATGGCGCCACGTCGCCGATACATCGGCGATGCATCGGCGATGCATCGGCGATGCACCAGCGATGCATCGTCGACGTCGGCGGTGCATCGGCGACGTCGGCGTGAAGCAAATCGGGCCCCGCATCGAGCCGCATCGGCGATGCATCGGCGATGCGGAGCGATCCTTCGACCCCATCTGTTCGGACCCGATCTAGGAGGCCTAGAGACGAACAGAGAGCCGTCTCACCGAGGCCGCTGTACCCGTGCTGGGCATGCAGCTGCCGAGGAGCCCCTGCCGGGCGAGTGGCCGCGAGGCCTTGCGCGGGTTCCAGCGCCGAGCCCGCTGCGTGCAGGCGACTCCGCCAGCTGGCCTGTCGGGATCGTGATCCTAGGCAGGCTACCTGGATAGAGGGGTGGGATAGGAGGAGGAGGAGGAGGAGGAGGAGGAGGAGGAGGAGGAGGAGGAGGAGTTTGGGGTCCTGGTGGCGGCAACGGCGTGGGTTGAATTTCACCGGAGCGCAACCCAGGTTCCCCCCTCCCCTTCCTGAAAGCCTTCCTGTAGTCGCCCTCCCTCTTCAGGTTCACGTCCATCATGCTTTGAGCAGTCCATCCTTGTCTCATCTTGTGCTCTGTTGCGTTGCACGCCTGCCTTGAGTGTAGGGGTAAGGACACATGCTGTGGCGTGCTCAGCGTGTGAGGCTGCGGCGCGGCGTCAGCCCAGGCTGAGTTGTCCCGGTGTGAGCTCACACTGCGGCCACGTTTTGTTGGCGCATCGTCGTGCTCCTCGACTGCCCCAAATCTCTGGTGCACGGCGGCTGCGTCCTAGCTGTTCTTGCTGCTGTCTGCTGTCGATCCGCTGAGGCGGTGCGAGGCCCCTGTTGGCGAAAGCGGCACCCAAACGCAACCCAGGAGATTAGCACGCAATGAGTCGTAATCTCTGCCCCATGATAGCTACGGAATGCTCAGTTCGCACGCGTTCCATCGTCCATCCGTCCATCGCCGCTTCTGTCTGCTGTATCTCTGCCTGCTGTCCTGCCTTGTGTGTGTCGAGGTCAGGGCGCAGACTGTGGCGTGCCCAGCTCGGGAGGCTGCGCCTGCGGTTACCCCCCCCCGGGCTGGGCGGTCTCGGAATGGGCGGCCACCCTCTTTTTGTTGCTGGCGCCAGTGGCCTTCTCGAGCGCGTCCAGCTCCCCTGTCTGGCATCATTGCAATGCCTGGCCTGTCCGGGTCGCTCTCGCTCTTCTTGCCCGCCCCCCGGGGGGGAGGCGGTGATGGCGGAGCTCGGAGGAAGGCTCGGGGCAGGAGCTCTGGGTGGTGGAGGTGGTGCTTTCCGCGTCCGCCATGCCACAGCGTCTTCGAGCTCCCCGTGCTCGCCACCGAGCCCGTGGAGGCGCTGCGCCGCCGACGGGCTCTGACACCACGGGTGTGAGCGCCCAGCGGCCTGTCTAAGAGAAAGCCGGCCGCCGCCCTGGAAAGGGAGAAAAGGGAAGGAGAAGGGAGAAGGGCGGGGCAGGGGAGGAGGGGGAGGGGCCTGCCGAAACAGGCACCACCTGGCCTGCCAAAAAACAGACCCACTACTCCATGGACCTCTCCCAGGGTGCCTTCTGAGCAGACTTCTGGAGCGACTCCGGCGGTGGCGACGAGGGCCTCCCAGGAGGCCCCCCAAAGGGCGAGGGTATAGCGGTGTCGGGGGCGGCCAAGAGGGTGGCGTCCAAGAGGGGGGTGGTGCAAATCATGGCCGGCGGCACGTGCGCGGCCCAAGGCGGGGCCAGGGACGTAGTGAAATAAGAAGAGGCGCCACGAAATCTAGGGAAACACCATGGCCCACATCATGATATCACCCCCCCCTGTCATCACCCCCCTTCTTTGCCGCCCCCGACGGTGCGTCGGTACTCGTTCCTCGGGGATCCTCTGACCCGGGTCGATCCTGACCCGGGTCAGTCAGACCTTGCAGAATCCTGCAGGATCCTGCACCCAAGCCCGGGTCAATGCGACGGATCCTGCAAGATCCTGCAGGATCCTGCGCCCAAGCCTGCGTCAGTGCGCCCCTGGCCCTGTGGGATCCTGCAAGATCGGGCGCTCTGGCTGACCCCCGTTTGCAGTGACCCCCGTCTCAAGGCTCCCGGTCCCTCCCCTGGGCGGAGACGCCGACGGCGGGGCGGCTATCGGGAGCGAGCCCGCCTCGTCTGCTCGCTGCTTGCCCGCGGAGGCGGGCGGCGGTGCGCGGCTTTGCGGGCCGCCCCCTGGGAGCGGGGGCGCCCGCTCGGCGGCCGCCCGAGGCCTCGCGGCGGGCGGCTTGCCTCGCCCGACGGGCGCCGAGGCTGCCGCATCCGCCGCCGCCGACGCCGCCGCCGGCGCTGGGAGGGGCTCGAAGTCCAGCCAGACCGTATCATACGGGTGCGCGGTAAGGATGCATGGGCCTTGGAGGGCCATCTCGAAGCTTCTCGAGCGGGGCGAGGACAACGAGAGTGGCCGAGGATGGGCCGAGGAGGCAAGGATGCAATGGCCATCCTTGGGGAAGTCGCGCATCCTTACCATGCGGCTTGAAGTATAGCTACCCGGGGTCATCACGTCGGCCCGGGGGCTCCATGTGCAGTGACGGCAGTGGATAAGGAACCGTTGGATATGGAATCCAGGGTCCGGAAGCCGGTGGAGATCCACCATCGTGGGTTGGCCATCGATATGGCCAGCGCCCTCATCAGACAAGGACCCCCCCAGGGTCTGAAGCCTCGTGGGCACATTGCTTAACGAACGCCCCCGCCGCATCGACGCCCAGGCTCTCCAACCTGAGGGACGCCGGAGCGTGTATGTACCGCATTCCTTCGCCGAGTTCATTGGCGCCCTGCCCGACCAGACGAAGTGGTGTATTTGTGTGTATATGTGTGTGTATGTGTGTAGGTCTGTCTGTCTGTCTGTATGTCTGTCTGTCTGTCTGTCTGTCTGTCTGTCTGTCTGTCTGTCTGTCTGTCTGTCTGTCTGTATGTATGTATGTATGTATGTATGTATGTAAAACATACATATACTATAACCACTCGCGCGCTACGCGCGCGCTTAAGTTCTAGTCGTGGATGAGGATCCGGTGCCGCTGAAGCCCCGGTGTGGTCACAACGACGATTTCCAGATTTCTCGGGCCAACGCCATCGACGAAAAGAAACGCGTAGTCAGAACGCTCTCGCTCTGCCGGGGCCGCCCTTGAGGGGTGGGAGGGGGAAAGCAACTTGTGAAACGGCAGGGTACAGCGATGCCCCGTTCGCTCTGGCGGTGCCTATCTGGCGCGGGCCGTCCCAGGAGAGGAGGGAGGAGCACCAGAGCTGAGGGGCAAGGGGAGGAAGAGGAGAGAGGAGGGAATGGAGGCATGGAGGCAAGGGGAGGGGGCGGGAGGGAAGAAGGGATGGAAAGGGGAGGTCAAGGCCATCTTGGCCGTCTTGGAACGCTCTGGGGTCTCCCGCTCCCGCTTTGTGGCCAAGCTTGGGCCTGTCCTGGTTCTCTTGGGCCGTCTGAGGCTCCTCCCTGGATTATTTTCGGGTTCCCTGGGGCCGTTCGGGCGCTTTTTTGGGTGCCTCTTCGGCGGTCTCGGGGCGGTTTTGGGGGCGTCTGCGGCCGTCTTCGAGCATTGGAAGCTCGAGAACTCGAGAAAGCGTAAAACAGCGAACAAACCAATGCAAATCAATGATGTGGGCCTCTTTGGACTCTCTCGGGACGTCTCTTGGAGCTCTCTTGGGCCCTCTGCCTTTTGGGCAGTGTGTTTGCCGTCTTGACCTCCTCTTGGGCCACGATGGAATCATCTCGGCCGTCATGGAACGCCCTGGGCCCTCCCGCTCCCGCTCTGGGGCCCATCTTGTGCCTCCCCTGGGATTATCTTGGGCAATTTTGGGCTGCTCTTGGGTAGTCTTCATGCTCTCCGGCGCCGTCTTGGGGCTCTTTTGGGGGCCTCTTCTGCGGTCTTGGGGCAATCTTCGGGGCGTCCCGTCTTGGAGCGTTGGAAGCTCGAGAACGCGAGAAAGCGAACAACAGGTGAGAAACTTCCAGACATCAAGGATATGGCCCTCTTCGGGCTCCCTCGGGACGCTTCTCGAAGCTCTCTTGGGGCCTCTTGGAGGGCTCTTGGGCTGTGTATTGGCCGCGTGGTGCCCATCTGGCCACGCTGGGGCCATCATGGCCGTCTTGGAGCGTTCTGGGGCCTCCCGCTCCCGCTCTGGGGCCCAGCTTGGGCCAGTCCTGGGGCTCTCTTGGGCCGTCTGTGGCTCCTCCGGTAATTTTCAGGCTCCCTGGGGGCCTCTTCGGCGGTCTTGGGGGCCTCCGTTGGGGGCCTCTTCGGCGGTCTTGGGGCGGTCTTGGGGGCGTCGTCGGCCGTCGTGGAGCGTCGGAAGGTCGAAAGCGCGAGACACCGAAAAACATCTTTAAAAAACCATGGACATCAAGGATCTGGGCCTCTTCGGGCTCACTCGGGACGCCTCTAGGAGGTCTCTTGAGGTCTCTTGGAGGCCTCTTGGGCTGTGTATTTCCGGTCTGGAACCCATCTGGGGCCACGTTGAGGCCATCTGGACTGTCTTGGAAGGGCTTGTCGAAGTCCCCCGGGGGCTTCTGGGAGCGTCTTGGAACTCTCTGGGGCAGTCTGGGGACTTCACGGCCCCTCCGGGGTGCTCTGGGAGCGGTCTCGAAGGCCCCGGTCCCGCCATGCCCCGTCCAGGTCGCGGCCCCGGGCGCCCGGGCCTCGTGCGCGTGTGTGTGTGTGTGTGTGTGTGTGTGTGTGTGTGTGTGTGTGTGTGTGTGTGTGGTGTGTTGTGTGTGGTGTATGTGTGTGTGTGTGTATATACATCCCTCCTATATTTTTACAAGCCCGGGCGGCCGCAAAACCCCGCACCCCCCCCCCCCCCCAAACCGGACTCCTGGGATCCTGGGACTTTGGGACCCTCCGGACGCCCATTGAAGCGGTCCCGAGTGCCTCAAGAGCGCTCCAAGACAGGCACAAAGCGCTCCAAGACGCCACAGATAGCCCCAAGACAGCCTCAGGAGCCCCCAAGACGCCCCAAGCGGCCCCAAAGAAGCCCCCCAAGACGGCCCCGGGAGGCCGAAATGGTAAATTTTCCAATGTGTTTTTCGATGTTTTCTGCTTTCTCGCCATTTTAGCTTTCCGACGCTCCAAGACAGAACTAGAGGCCCTCAAGAGCGCCCCAAGATGGCCCGGGGGGTCCCCAAAACCGCCCCAACACGGCCCCAAGACGGCTCTGGAGCGCCCCGAAACAGCCCAAGAGGCGCCCAAGAAGGCCCAAGAGGGCCCCGAGAAAGCTTCAAACGAGCCCCCACAGGGCGATCAAAAGTTCAAACATCTAACTTTCCGCCCAAAGTGGGCCCCAGGAGGCCCCAGGAGGGCCCCAAGAGGCCCCAAGAGGCTTCCAAAGGCCCCGAGGACTCCCAAAAAGAACCCACGAGGCCCCAAAATGGCTCTCCAAAAGGCAGCCAAAACGGCCCCCCAAGAGGCTTCAAATGCTGAGTCGCCCCACTTGACCGCCACCTCCGGAACGGCTTCGCTGCGCTGCTCCGTTGTTTGCCAGACAGTGGCATCCCACGCAAAACACCAAAATGCTTGAAATCCCGGGTTCGCAACCAGCCGCAGCCCCCTGGTCTGTTTCCTTATGTGATCGCAAGGCATCTCCGTTTGTCTCACCCCCATGCGCAAGTCGAGACAGCACGCCGCCCCAATGCGTGCCTTACCTTACCTTACCTCATGATATTCCTGCCTTCGCCGCGCCTCCCCAAATCGTCCTCCACTTCTTTCCCGCCCCTTCTGTCCGACGTTTTGTATTTCCGGAGCCTCCACGGCCGCTCTCATCGCCGCTGATCGGTCCGCTGGGACATTCTCATGGAGTCCCAGTGGCGCGCGGACCAGCAGAGCGAGGGCGCGAGCAAGTAAGGTGCAGGTCCGGGAACTGGGCGCGAACCAACCGCGGTTCAAAGACCGTGGAGGGCCGCGCTAGACGCCAACGCGCGCAAGGGTTGAAGGACCAAGGTGCATGGCGCGAAGCGCCAATGCAGTCTTGTATATATATATATATATATATATATATATCGAGCCGCTCCGAGCGCCTACGCGGCCTCCCTCGACAGCGGGGTCGCCGGTCTCGTCTGGAGGCACGAGCCATGCCTCGAGGGCCAAGGCTTCCGAGACGCTCCTCTGCGTTTTTCGGGGCCTCCTGCGGGAGCCCTGCTGGCCACGGCTGGGCCCTCCTGGGGGAGGAGGAGGAGGAGGAGGAGGAGGAGGAGGAGGAGGAGGAGGAGGAGGAGGAGGAGGAGGAGAAGGAGGAGGAGGAGGAGGAGGAGGAGCAGGAAGAGGAGGAGGAAGAGGAGGAGGAGGAGGAGGAGGAGGAGGAGAAGGAGGAGGAGGAGAGGCAGGAGGAGGAGGAGGACGAGGAGGACAGCGACGAAACGAGGAGAGGGAGGAGGAGGGAGGAGGCATCCAGGGGTTGACGACCCTCACTGGCCGAGAACCCAAGATCAATGACTCGTGGTGCTCTCGTCGGCCTTGGGGGATGCGGGGCACCTCGTCGCCGCGGCTGAGCGCAGCTCGACAAGGTCATGCCAGAGGGCGCTCCAGCAGGACCTGAGGCACCACTCAAAAACATGAAAGCTGTCAAGATGGCTTCTGTCCCAGACCCCTGGAGGCCCTTCTCCTGGGGCTCGGGGCCGCCAAAAAACGACCCCGTATACGAAACTGGCCCGGGAAAAGGCTGGGGACCCTAGGGTCTTACGTCGCGAAAGATGACCAAGAACGAGCACGTCCCCAATCCCCGAATCGCGGATTCACCGAGGATTCGAAAACCGGCCCAAGATTTCGGGCCGTATAGTTTGCGCTCGCCGTTCCCCCTGGTAGAACTCTGCCCCGCAGTCTCCCTCCCCGAAGTCTCGAGGAACCTGCGTCTGTGGTGAATTTGCGGAGCGAAATGTGACATCCGCGGAAAAGGCGAAATCCGCTCAGCGTCGGTCCCTGGACCCCTCCTGGGGTCCAGAAGGCGCAGCGCTTCAACCCAGATCAGTTTCTGACGGTCCCGGATCCGAAAACGGCCCCCGGAGGCACAAGAGGGCAACACACCTTCCCGAACTCCACTTAGATCTCGAACCTGCGCGAGCTTCCTGCTGGCAAGAACCAGTGCTGGGCCACTTCAGACCCCCAGACGGCTCCAAACCAAATTGGCAGGTCGCCCTGGGAGCTCCCGTGGGAGCCCTGGGAACACCTGGGGAGCACGCCCCCCCCCCCCGAGAGAAGGGCGCCTCCCCGGCAGGGGGATATGTCTAAACCTATCCCAGGCTCCGTAGGGCTTCCGACTGGACCAGAACTTCCGACTGGAGTATCACGATGGGGGGGGCGTCCATCCTCGATAGGGGGTGCGCCCGAATGCCCCCCCCTTGGGGTGTAATCCCAGGAGTTCCCCCTTGTTCTGAGCGGCCGAACTTCTCGGGCGGAACTCGGGGACCAGGGGGGGGGGGGCAGGGGGGGCGAACTCGCCTGCGACTCCGGGGTCCATGCTGATGGGCTTATCTTCCACCGCCACCACCAGAAGTTGGATGGGGGAAAGGAGGAGGCGAGGAGGAAGAGGAGGAGGAGGAGGAAAAGGAGGAGGAGGAGGAGGAGGAGGAGGAGGAGGAGGAGGGGGAAGGAGGAGGAGGAGGAGGAGGAGGAGGAGAGCAGGAAGAGGAGGAGGTGGAGGAGAAGAGAGGAGGAAGAGGAGGAGGAGGAAGAGTTGGAGGGGAAGCAGGAGGACGAGGAGGACAAGGAGCAGGAAGACGAGAAGGTGGAGGAGGAGAGAGAGAGAGAGAGAGGAGTGATATAGAATGAGGAGGAGGAGGAGGAGGAGGAGGAGGAGGAGGGCCCCCTCCCCCTCCAACTTCTGGTGGTGGTGGTGGAAAACCCATCGCGTGCTGCGAGGCGCCAAGCGCGGTGATCTTCGCGCCCCTGTAAGGGGGCCCAATGGCCCGAGGCTGGGCCTCGGGCGAGGGCGAGAACAGGGGGAAACCAGAAGGTCTCTCGGCAAGGGCTCGGGGGCGAGCGAGGGGGGGAAGTGAGAGGGAGAATGAAGGGGCCCAGCGACACACACACACACACACAAACACACACACACACACACACACAATACACACAATACACACAAAGCCCAAGGTTCCCCATACTTGCCATATGTTCTGGGCTTTTGTCTTCCCCTCCACTTCCGACATGTTTCCATATTTTCCTGGGAGTCGACGATCGTGTCCGTGTGTGGTTTCCCCTCCTGAGAGAAGGCATTCTCAAAGGCGGCCTTCTCAGAAGCCCTCGCGCCTCCGAAGAGGCGTCCTGTGTCGTCGAGGAAGGCTCAGAAGAACTTCTCAGGAGGCCAGGGGGGACCTTCTCAGAAGCCCTCGCGCCTCCGCAGAGGCGTCCTGTGTCGTCGGGGAAGGCTCAGAAGCACTTCTCAGGAGGCCAGGGAAACTTGCGAGCCTTCTGAGCAGGCCCACCCTCCCCCCCTGTCTCGCCGCCGAAGGGCCCCGGGAGACCAGGAGAAGGCCGACCACGGCGAGAAGCCTCGGACCCCGTCCTCCAGGACGGCGAGAAGCCTCCTCTCCCGGCGCCTCCTCCTCCTCCTCCTCTCTCCTACTCCCCTCCTCTCCCTCCTCCCCTCCTCCTCCCTCCCTCCTCCTCCTCCTCCTCCTCCTCCTCATCCTCCTCCTCCTCCCTCCTCCCTCCTCTCCTCCTCTCTCCTCCCTCCTCCCTCCTCCCTCCTCCCTCCTGCCTTCGTGCTCCAGTGCCCTCTTGTTCTTCATGGTGCCCATGTGCGCCAGCGTGGAGGGAGAATCCAGGATATCGTCTAGCAGTAGCGCCTCAAAGCAGATTCGAGCCCCCGCTAGAAGAAACAACCGCACATGTAGACCCACTGTGGGCAGGCCGCTGTGCGTGAAAACCCCAGGCCCCCGTCAAGATATCGGCCCGTCGTAGGGGTGCCCTGCCAGAGCCGATGGAGCGCCTCCGCCGACCCCCGAGGACGGCAAAGCGCTGGGAAGCACTGGGCCATAGCGAAGAAGAGGACAGAGCACGTCATCTGGACGGAGTCTGGTCCACGCTTGCGGGCGATACATCGTGAACGGCTGCAGTCTCAAGCATCCGAAGCTGCCAGTGGCATGTGCGGACCCGATGCAAGGCGAGGAGGTATGGAAACAGTGATGGTGGTGGTTGGGTGATTGTGATGTGGGAGAGAGGGGCAGTAGGATGATGATGCTAGTGTTCTGCTTGACGAAGGTGGCTTTGCCCATCACTCCACGCACCGCACAAGCTGCACAGGTCGAGTCCCGACCCCGCCACTACGTCGAGCCCAGCATTTCGACGCAAACGCCTCACCAAGCGCGGTATGTCAGGAACCGTGTCTCTCACGCAGCCGCTACATATCCCTGCCCCGATATGTGTCCCGATGGTGGTCCCGATGGTTGTCCCGATCGTTATCCCGATGGTTGTTTCGATGGTTGTCTGGATGTTTGTCCGGATGGTTGTCCAAATGGTTGTCCAAATGGTTGTCCTGATGGTTTTTCCGATCGTTGTTCCAATGGTTGTCCTGGGGGTTGTCCGGAAGGTTCTCTCAAGGGTTGTACCGATGGTTGTACTGATGGTGCTGCGAGGCCATCATACCCAGAAATGCGCCCTGCGGGAACAAACAACCA